CCTTTGAAGGTATATGGGGCATTGGAGTTGGTGTTTAAGAATTTGCAGAGGACCTATAAGGACAATTTTTTTGCCAGTGTCTCAGTTGAGTGTCTCAGTCGATTACAACTGACACATCAGTCTCTGGGCTTGTATTTGATAATGGACTGCCAAGAGGGTATAATGTGAGAGGCCCAGGTATTATTTTAGGTCTCTGGCCTTGGAGCTGTTGTAGTTCTAAGGCCATTAGGTTGGAAGAATTTTGTTAAAATCTTAGGAGATAATCCAGGTCACCCAATGGATAATACTACTCAAGCAGGTTGGGTGACCTCATTCATTTATTGTATGGAATCTGGAAGAGAGCTTTAAGGTCTGCTACAGATTCATCTTCCCTTTATTTGCATGTTTGAATAACAGACCAATCAGTGTGGGCAGGGCAAACTCTAGGAATGGCTTGTAAAAATTAGTTGCTATTCTGTGAGCTTTTTCCTGTCCATGTGGAAGTTCAAGCATCTAAATATCATCCTCAGGGCTTTGCCATTTTGTATCCCTTGTGCGTTTTGGGTTTCACCAGGTCCTATCAGCATATGCACAGGCCAATCAAGAACTGGCAGCTCAGAGTCATAGACCTTGACAATGACTCTAAGTTCTTCAGAAAACTTCTGCGGCCTTTCCTGGATTTAAGGAAATTCTTCAACTACGGCCCTTAGTTTGGACTTTTACCAGGGAGGGAAGGGTATCCGAGGAGGAATGCCTGCAACCTGGGGTGGTTTCATTTTGAAAGGTAATTATTCAATAGTCTCCTCAGAGTGGAAATGTTGTTCAGACGGAAGTAGTAAAACGTGAGTTCCCAGGTGGAGCAGGATAGAGGGGAGCGGTGTGAGCCATGTTGGTCTCATTGACTTTTGTTTTAAGAACTTCTTTTGTCTTTAATTTTTCATGAGTTTTCTGCAAAAAAATCTTTTAAAGAAGCTGTTTTGGAATCTTGAAGCCTTTTGGCAACTTCTGCATACCAATCATAGTAGGTTTCCCATTTCTTTGATTTGGAAAACCTAACTTTAAGTGCACTTCTTCAATGAACCGTCTTGTCTAATTAGAACATTCCCTATATTGGTCGTTGTAATTCTTTGTTTTTTTTTGTATTAAGATTTTGCCTTTTTTGTTGCTATTTATAGCTTCTGGGACCATAATTTTAGATATGAAATAAGCAAGTATGCTGGAGGGTGGCCCATTTTACTCTTTGGAATTTAAGGATCCTATAATACTTCTTTTAGCTAGGCCTTTGGGTCCCTTGGAGTCACACTAACATGAAAGAGATGTGCCTCTGGTTTGGGGGTTGGATGCTGGTTTACATACCTCATTGCACAAAAATTTTCTTGAGGTTGGAGGGTGACCTAGTATCAACCACATTCCATGACCAATTTATCCTTACGTGGGAGCCTTAGAGTTAGGTGATATACATTCTAACAGGTTTTAAGTGCTTGACCCATTCCCATCAATTTTGTGGTGTGTGATTGAGTCTTCTGAGATTCCCATTAGCAGTAGCTTTCGCTTACTGGACCCACTCCAGGTTAACTTGGCCCCAGCCCAATCCCAATCCAGTCTGATTTTTAAGTCAATCCCAGTCCAACTTCTACAAGTAACCACCAGCAGTTCCCATTGTGGGACTGTGGACTGGGGTTCCACACAGTGGGGAATTAACGACAGAAGCACCAGCAGTTACCGACAAACTGAGGGCAGAATCAAGGGCTGGGATTTCCAACCAAATAGGGAACTAACTGAAAAACCAGGTAGACTGGGAACTTGATGCAAAGAGAGCAGAGCTCAGGCCTGAGAGGAACTTACTCACTGCTTCAGAGATGGCAAGAAAGAATGTGAATTCAAAGCATTTGCAGAGTAGTGTGCCTGTGTTTCTCGTTGTCCCCGAAGCTCAGAAATTCGCTTTGGATTCCATTGTTCCCACCAAATCTGTTGAAAAAACAAAATTTACTCTGTTGAAAAAGCAGAGTAAATTGAAAAGATCCTATTGGCTTTATTCAATGATTCATCTAGCAGATAGAAAGGAGCTCCTAGGAGCTGGACGAAATGGAAGGCTTCTGCAGGCAGAGGAAAGAAAAGAGTGGGTTGTTTCAGGCAATGTCGATGTCCTTCAGAGGATGAAAGGGGGCCTATCAGGTGGATGACCTCACTCGTTCTGACAGGAAAATTCCAGACTTAAGATCACATTCCTGGGAGAGGCTAAAACTGCAGTTAGGTTAGGTATTGTCTTGGTTTGTTGATATGGGGTTTAGCACAAGTGGCTCCATTTTGGGGTCATTGTCTCTTTTTTAATAGAGCTTAGCCCTCATGGAGGGGACTAGTGAACTTATAAAAGAGGCCCCAGGGAACTCCCTGCCCCCTTCCACCATGTGAGGACACAGAGAAAAGACAGCTATCCATGAACCATGAAGCTGGCTCTCACCAGGCACACAATCTTCCTTGATCTTGGACTTTGCAGGCTACAGGATGGTGAGAAATAAATTTTTATTGTTAACCTTCTCTCCTTTCATACAACACAAATTTTTATTGTTTATAAGCTGCCCAGTCTATGATATTTTTCTTATAGCAGCCCAAAAGGACAAAGACAAAGGGCTTAGTCATTTCCAACATTTAGACTTGTTCCGAACACCTCCACCCCATGCAGCGTAACTTTTTTCATTCCAGCTGTTATGGAAATGCTTTCACTATTAGTGATTTTATATGGTCACGTTATCCTTTTGGCCACACCTGTTAATGCATTTGAACACTAGAACTTGAATATTTACTTGTTCTCATATACCTGGTATGTTTAACTGTCAAAATAGTACCATCCCCTTATATTATAAATATTCTCAAAGCTGTGTGATTATTTATAAAGAACAAATCACTGGGAGTCTCATAAATGTCAAGAGCCTTGGGATGTGTCTTCAGGCACATGGATAGATACATTGCTTCAACAGATGCATCTGCTTATTCAGTTTCAGCAATCTTTGGCCACGTTGAAGCAAAGAAAAACCACCATGCTTCTTGTTAGGTGGGATGCCCCAATAGGCAGCAAAAACTGCGAGACCCAGTGAATGAATGCATTTTCCCTTTTTATTGGAACTTTAATGTATTTTATGGACTCTAACCATTGGGAGAGAATGGGGTATGATCTTGCTTGGAGGCTGAGGAGCAGATTGGGTTTCTTTGGGAGACAGAGGTGACATTTTATGGCTTTCTCATTTTTTAGAACCTCCTTTCAGAAGTCTCTCCTTATGAAATTCTTCAATCCACAAGAACTGCTTATGAAAAATATGGTCCTAATTCATTCTTTCACAAACCAACCAGGACCCACATTAATTCAGAGGTGCTAGTTCACTTTCTGTGGAATCAGAAGCATCCAATGTTACGACTTCCAGTGCCCTGATCTTTTTCATTCTTCTTTGCTCACTCTTCCACTTCTCCATATTACCCTTCTGGCTGACAACGCCTTCAATTTTTCCCATGGGGAGCTTCATAGTTAGCACTCAAAAGCCACCAGCCGGATGTCTCCAACTTTGAGTTGTAACTCTCCAGTTCTCTAAATTTCTTTCTTTTAGATTCCTTACAGTGGAACGTTGCTAAGACATTGTATTCTCACTTAGAGTATTATCATACATTATCTTAGAGTATTACTTAGAGTATTATCTGCATAGCGACATCTATGTATCTTTTGGATGCAAGTCTTATGCACTATAGACTGATTTGTAATCCTCACTGGAGGATATGTTTATAGATTTGAGAGAGAGAGAGAGCCCATGTGCACCACGAGTTTACCTTCTGCATGCGCCCCCACCAGGGATCAAACCTGCAACCTTTTGGTGTTCTGGAGGACACTCCATCCAAGCCACCTTGACAGGGCTAGATTGAGTTTTAGAACAAAATTTACTCAATAACTATTTATTGTGTGTCTTTTGTACCAGGAATGAGAAAACAGTGGTGGACCAGACCGAAAGGTCTCTGGTCTCCTGAAGATGGCATTCCAGAAGCAGAACGGCTCCATAATTCATTTACTCTGTAAGTGAGAGAGAAAAATAGTGTTAGAAGATGGAATGCGATAAGCATTTGACGTGTTGTGGTATACCCTAGACGTGGAATTAAAAAAAAAATAAAACAAAATATTTCAGATCAATTACTTTCATTTGGGAAATACATGCTCATTATTTTCTTCAAACTAGAAATTACTTTATCCCTCTTTTCTTTGAAGTTCTCTTAAATCTGTTATTATTCAGGGTCCCCATCCAATTTTTCATCAAACTATCCTATTTGTAGCTTCCAAATGTTAACACCTCTGTGCTGAAATGAAGCTTATGAAATGCCCTAGGGGCTTAAACTGCGTGTGAGGCAGAAACGGTACTTAGGCCCTTAATGAAATTATGAACTTTGAAAGTGTTGCATTTTAGGTTTATAGGCGTCTTCCTCCACTTTTCTTTTGGCAAGGTGGGGGTGGGGGGCTGGGGTGGGAAATACTTTTAGTACACTTTTTTTTACCTGCATTGTCTTCTTTTCAAATACAATTTTCCGCAATTGGACATTTATAAACACTACACACTGCTTAAAGGCATCTGTAAACTTTGTGTATGTATTTTTCCAACTCTCAAAGCAGTATTTTTTTTTTCCCTACTGGTCTAATTCTCGCAGGCAGAAAAGCTAAATATGTCTCTCGTTGCTTCACTGATCTTTCTCCAGAAAAATGAAAGTGGCGAGAAAACAAAATAGAGAAGAAAAGAGTATGGAGAAAAGAGCATAGGGAGGAGAGAGGAAAAGCGGGGAGAGAAGGGGAAAGGAGCGCGAGAACATGAAGAGCACTGGAGTACTGGTTGCAGACAGACCGACTCAGAGCAGTAAAACACCTAGCCGCCCGCGCCCACTGGTCCCCGGGGCTGCCAATCCCGGCGTAATCCCGTAGGAATTTCTCTCGGGTTTAGCTAGGAGTCACATTGCCGCCTCCTCTCCCCCAGACGCCCGGAGGCGCCCGGAGCAGTCCGCTTGGTTGCGAGGGAGGGAGGGAGCAGGAGCAGAGGAGGAGAGGAGGAGAGGAGGAGGACCCCGAGAGGGAGGCGGTGGCGCGGAGAGAGGAGGGGCGCAGCGGCTGAGCCACCAGCCGCCCTCTACCGCGCTTCTCTCCAGATACTCCCGGAGCTCCAGCCGCGCGGAGCGCACCCCTACTGCTCTGCCCCCAAACTTCAGCTGTAGCTACATTCCAAGCCATCTAATTTATTCTTCAAGAAAAGAAGCTGAGTTGCGACGCCGGGAAGGAGTCCGCGGAGGAGTGAAATAACAGCAGAGCTAGAAGAGCTCCAGAGAGCAGATTCCCCCGAGCAACAACTCGGTGCCAGGAGTGCAGAAACCAACAAGTGAAAAGGAACCGCGTTCCCGGGGCGCAGCCGAAGACCCGGGAGCTGAAGCAGGAGGAGGCAGCGAGCGCGCCGGTGCATTGAGCAGGAGCCTCCTGCTCCGGATCCCTCTGCGTGGCTGTGCCTGGTGCTGGGCAAGGGGATTCCTTTCGCCCTTGTTGCAAGCAGCGGCTCCCAGCCAGTCTTCGGGGAATATGCAGCGCGCTTGGATTCTGCTCACCTTGGGCTTGGTGGCCTGCGTGTCCGCGGAGTCGGTGAGTGGGCCAGGAGGGGATCGCGCGCGCCTTTTAGGGGTGTTCGAGGCCGAGAAGAGTCCGTGGCACCAGCAGGAATCTGAGAGCGCCACTTGGGGGTTCTCACTTCCCACACCCCCAGGGAGCTGCAGGAACAAATGCACTCGCTCCTCCACCCTTTTTCGCCTTCCCTCCCCACAGTAAAGCACCGCTGGCTGGAGTTGTCCCGAGGTCCCTGGGGATGAGGGCACGAGAATCGCAGTTTTGTCAAACCGCAGAGGCCCCTGAAGTCACTACCAATTTCTTCACCGTCGTAGAGTCTTGCTGCATCACCCGGGAAAGACCAAAGGGGAAAGGGTGGCTGGAGACGGGAACCCAGAGAGGGTTTGCAAGGGAACGGGTTCTCTCCGCGGGCTCCCTGAGACCCAGGGGCGACCAGGAAACTTTGAGGTCCCTTCCTCTGCACAGCATCTCCCCATGCCAGCTCTCCTACTCGATTGAATGCAAGTTCTGGGGAGAGGTGGCCCTGATTTAAGAAAGTCTCGAGTATTGGGAGAGGAAAGTTTGCAAAAGTTCTTTTGTTTGATGTTCTCCGTGGTTGGCGTGAGGGAGCAGACACCATGTGGAAATGCTACCCGTGGAGGCGCAGTCTGCATTCCCGCGGGGGTTAGCTAAACGGCCGGGGAGTGCTGGGGCACCGGTCGCTGGAATCCTGGTCCTGCGGCGTCCCCTAATTTCTTGAAGGACTAAGGGAGGCCCACGGGCCCTGAGGGGCAGGAGGACATTTTAATACTGACTGCGCTGAGTACAGTGTGCAGGGCGAAGCGGGATGCGTGTGACACCGCTCCGCCTCGGGTGGCGTGGCAGCTCCGAGATCCAGGCTTCCAGCCCGCAAGGCAGGCTTCCAGCCACTACGCTCGCTGTCGCTGGCCCCGGCTGGGGTGCACTCAAGGCCCTGAGGAGTCTCTTCACCTAATCCCTGCAAGCTGCAGGCACTTGGTTTCCGGCAGAGGGAACTTGATTTCTCCTTTGGGTGGGTTTCAGTGGCTGGAGCTTGTTTCCCTATGTTGTCCAAAGAGCGCCCTCTAATGGGAGCTGTCTTCTGGGCTTCCGCTGGTCCCTGGCGGCCCCTACCTGGGCGCCTTGAGCATTGCGGGACCAGGTGGAAGCCCAAGCACCCGCGATTACCTCTGCAGTCTCAGTGCTGCTTGGGGTCTCGTTCAGGGAGTACAGCTGTGTTTTCTCGTTCCCCATATCTCCTCCTTTTGCCACCTAATACCTTGTCCATTTCTAATGAACTTAAATGTCTCTTGCAAGACAAGTAATGTCATCTCTGGGGATAGTGTGTTTTTCCCCTCCCCTCTGGACTTCCCCCTTCTTTTTTGAGCTGAGGCAATCTAGGATTGGGAAACCTCTTTGGCACTGAGCAGCAGATGAAGATTTTTCGTCAGTGTGGGAGTCTGTGTGGATTGGCAGATCCCCATAGATTACTGGAGATTGAAGAGTATGTAGAATTGAACACTGCACAGAATAGTTGAGTATTTGGCTGCTCAGGCTGTAAAATAGAACTCTGAACCTTATCGGTATTATTTCTCTTCGGCAAAGCTCTTTAATCCACTGGGATTAGTAGTCTCCCAGCCAGTTTTGAACTTTGGCTCGTTGTACACAAAAGGGTAGAGATTCTCTGTTTATTTCAGGAAAAAAAAACATTAGTGCTCATCTTGTTGCAAAACAGGGCAAAGGGAGAACTCCATCTAAAGGTTTTCAAGCAAAGCCTGCCTAAAAAAGCAGTTCAGGGTTAAGGGAGTCTTTTTGCTGTGATTTGTTTAGGATTTGCTAAGAAATGTTACTATTTGGGGATTCTAGAAAAAAGAATGTCTCTATTTTCTTCCTCTCTGGGTTTTTGCATAAACCAGACAGTACTCCCAAAGGAAGCTTTCTGGCTGCACAACACCTGTCTTCCCCAGTGGTGCCTTTTTCCTGAATGCATTTTTGGGGTTCAAATATTTCTCATGTCCAACCTGAATTGAATGCTTTCCAAGTGAGCTGCTTCACTGTGGTAGATACTGTTTTCAGTAATTGGAATATCATCCAAAAGAGTGACTAGATATTTTTAAAATGTCAACTTGGAGACTCCAGCAGAGAGTCTTTCTTTGTTAGGCAGTGAGTCAGTCATTCTCAATTGAAGCTGTTTCAAAGCCCAGGGTAGCTAATAGTGCATTTACATTACTTTTAACTCTGTGTTTGTTTCATGTATAGCACCATAAGTGTATACAATGTTGAAAGGTTTAATTTTTAAACACTTAGTCATTATAGCACAGTATTTCCAGGGCCTCACATTTTGATTTGAAAACTGCTTCTGTTTCCTGGGAGTTAAAAGTAGTGATCTTCTAAGTCTCTCTTTACAAGGAAGAAAGGAAAAATGCCTGCAGTTAGTGAATTCTTTAGTTTAAAGTAAGCTTAAGGGTAAAAAAAAAAGAGAAGAATCTCAGGAACCAAGGCTCAAAGCTGTCTGTGAAAAGGAACTGGTGACCCTTCCTTTACTGACGAACGCTGGGAACCGCAGGGACAGCCCCTTTGTGGTCATGCATTCATACTTTCCGCCGGCAGGTTAGGACTTTTCGCTGCGGAAGGCAGTGCAAGGGGAAAGGCTGACTGAGTGTGGCAGTAGTGATATGCTGCTGTTTCTCTGTCCGTTTTTTTCATGACTGTTTAGCTTTAGAAATCATATATTGCAGACTGTTATAAATGCATAATTGGAACTGGAAATATGTTTTTAAAAAGGAAGTGTTTTGAACTAGTGGAATTTTATACATATGCTTAGATGTATGTAAATTAAAAGAAACTGTCAAGTCATTTGGACCCATGCATTTCCTCTCAGTGTGTTATGAAAGGCAGGCTTTGAAAAGTTTGCATTAGAAGGAAAAATAAAATTGGAACCATATAAACTTTTGCAGTTCTTTAAAAATATATATGTTGGCTGTTTGAGTAATGAAACAAATTCCTTTTGCTGGGGAACTTTATAGAAACAAGGGCTCTTTCTCTGTTAGTTGCGTGTTACCAGTAGCTAGATGTCATTTAAGAAGGAGAGATCTTACAAGATCAGACTTGCAGAAGAAGGGTGCCCTGGAAGGAATTTGAGTATGCCCCCCAACCCTTACTTCTGGAACCTGGTACATCAAGTTTTGATGGTGCTCACTTTGCGAAAGACTGAGTAACATGATACTCAAATTGTGCCTTGAAGAATCATTAGTTTGGAGAAGATTTCAATGGATCGTTTAGTTTTTTTCCCCAGGTAGGACTCGTTCTCAAGCCTCCCGAATCCCCCAGAGACCTGACTGGCCAGCTGTAGGTGGCCTGGGGTCTCCTTAGGTTGGCAAGACCCCTGAGGCTGACCCAGCCACATAGAGCTTGGCCGCCTTTGTCATTCAGGTGTGTGGGGAGTCTGGTCAGGCCCCTGTGCTGTTGGCGTGTCAGCGGGCAGTGATCCAATAGGTCACGTGTGGAATGTTATCTGAGTTGAGAGTCTCATGAGACTGGCCCTAAATCACACTGAAAGATCTCACCCATCATTTTCTTCTTCCCGAAACAGAAGACTTGCTGTTTATGCCACTGTCAACAGTACATTACAGCATCTCAAAATCACTGAATTCTTTCATGGACCAGAAGCCAAAATAAAGTTGTAAAGAAAAGCAAGAAGTCATGAAGAAGAGCCTTTGCTGAAAACAACTGCTCTTATTTAACTTTTTAGTCATCCATGCCCGGATCATCTCTTAATCGTAGTCTTTTGGATTTGAATCTTAAAGATGTCCTTGACGCATTTATCTTTGTTGACTTCCACATCCATTTGGCCTCTAAATCCACCTGCATGTTGTTCGCTCCACAAATATTTATTCAGCCCTTACAAAGTGCTCAGGATAAAGCAGGGAGCAAATCCCTCCGTCTTTTGGGAGCTCTCATTCTAGTGATCCAGACAGTTTCCTCTTCAGTTTCTTCTCTCTTGGGGCCTTGCCAGCTCATGTCTCCATGTCCACAGCCTTGCAGTTGCCCTTCCTGGCTCAGAGGCTCATCTGCTCTTTGATTTATCCTACATCACTTTGATTGTATTGCCCATGCCCCATAAACTCCGTGTTTTCTTGTTATCCTGGTATGGAGTAGAACTATCTCCGCCAGATTTATAAGATGCTCCTTAATATTGCTCCTTCTGGCTTACAGCCCCTTGATTACTCTCGGTCATGCTTCTGGGCTATAGCCTACCTGTTGCACTGTTGGGAATGTTCCTGGGACATGACTTCTTCACTGTTTCTCCTTTTAAACTCTGCTGATTCAAGTACAAGTTCCAAATAGCTCTACATGAATGATCCAGCAGTTGTTTTTATCTTTCTGTAAGTAGTCAGGTGGACTAAAGGTCAGAATCACTGAAAGTATATAAAAATACCGATTTCAAGACCTCCTCTCAGAACTGCACAATTAGAAATATGAAAGGGGCCCTGGCTGGTGTGGCTCAGTGGATTGAACATGGACCTGTGAACCAAAGGGTCGCCAGTTTGAGTCCCAGTGAGGGCACATGCCTGGGTTATGGGCCAGGTCCCCAGTAGGGGGCACTCGAAAGGCAACCACCCATTGATGTTTTTCTCCCTCTCTTTCTCCTTCCCTTCCCCTCTCTCTAAAAATAAATAAATAAAGTCTAAAAAAGGGGTGGATTGGTCTATACTTTTATGAAGCATGTCAGATGATTCTCATGAATCAGCCACATGTGGGAAACACCCGTTACACATTTTACCCCTGATTCCATGCTATTTGGCTTTATCCCAGGGCTCCGTGTGGTAAGTAGCTCTGTGACCTGGGAAACTAGGGTAGAGTGCACAGCAGTTAGACATGGAAGGTGGACACATCTGAGTTCAGATGCTGGTGCTTTGCCACTTCCTCAGTTTTGCCACTAAACTCTTGAGTAATTTTAAAAAATCACACGTGTGTATAAATGGGACCTAAGAATGCCTTTATAACATGGCAGCGTAGGA